GTCCTTTTTAAAGAATTTTTTATGAATTTTATGTATTTGATTTAGATTGGAGTTTTTTTATTTTTTATTTCTAGTTATCATTTCGTGTGAAACGAGCGATTACAATGCCTCAACGGTGAAATATACAATATATTTCCTACGATTCTCGAATAATAATCGATATTTCTCACGATCGATTTCTAACTGGAAAGTGGCGGTTAAAATGGCGGAACGAAGGACACTGCATCTGTAAAGAAGGAAATATTATCCAGAAAATTCATTCAGAAAGAAGTATCATCGAAAAATTCTCAGATAAAAAATTGAATCAATAATTGTTAGATTTGTGTTTGTGATTCAAATTTTTAAGATTTCTGCATTTTTTGCCTCAATTCAAGGTAAGATTTAACCAAATAATTATTATATATAATTACATTATTTCAACAATTAAAGAAATAATAGCATATAAACAGTTAAACAGAGCATACTATGCTAAAAGTTATTTATAATTTTATATTAAAATTTAATTTCAATTCTAATCAGTGCAAATATTATAACCTTGTAATTGGCTAACTCATTGTTATAAATATACAAGTATTTTATTATATGTTTTTATGCACACATTTTCATTATAACATTTTCTGCTTATTTGTTAATTCTTCATTTAACTTCATTCTTTAATTTAACTCAACGCTTATGTGTAAGGTTCTTAATGTCGCTTATATGTGTAAGAGTATTAATGTCGTTTATGTGTGTGTAAAACTCTTAATGTCGCTTATGCGTGTAAGATTCTTAGTTTCTTCGGTATCGCAAATAAATACTTTCGACTGAATACGACCTGTCGTATAAAAGTCAACACAATGTATACATTCATCTTAATTATTGTGTCTATTCGGATAGGATTATTCCCCTACTATTTTCTCAATTCGTAACGAGACGTATCGTGAAGAATCATTTGGTCGTCGAATTTCGTGCCAGTAGTACGTATTACGTCACATTGGGCTCATAACTTTTTCTAACCTATCGGTGGCGTCTCTTCGAGGACGTCGGTTCTTCCACACTCTTTTACTTTCATTTATACCTTATTAATAATATTCAATTAATAGTCGTGTGTTTAACGATTCGGTAAGCATTACGATAATGAAATCGTGTAATGCTTTGAAAGTTTACGTGCAGATTTTCATTTTAGTCGTCGATTTCACTCGACTTCGGTACGGTTACCGGTAGCTTGCCTCG